GATATATTGCTTTTTATTATTCCATTAATTTAGTTGAAATTTTATGCTACATTAGGTTGAAAACCTTTAATAAAATTGATTAAAGAACAAAACAAAATGCTGTTGATTCCCCCCACCTCCCCAGTTGTTTGTATGTGTGCGTGTGTGATGTAGAATTTCGGAGCACTGAAGATCAGACAAAGGAGAAACTGAGAGAATGGCCAGAACTGTCTTACCTGCACACAACAAAATGTTTGGGGCCTGTCCTGATTGCCGCAAACCTAGGGCTGTGCAGGACTGCTTTTCTTTTGCCCACATCAGTGTCTCTTGGGATGAGTTGCAGATCAAGTCGGGCAGGTGCTTGGCATCCGAAAAGCAACTGCATGTGCATTAACGAACACCATGGAGATGCGTACTTTATAAATACACCTGTGCTAATCATCCTCCGAACAATCACCCGAAAACGAGCCAAAGTGTGGGCAGGAAGCTCAGATCCAAAGCACTTATCTGTCAATTTAGCTTTGCTGTGAAGCTTCACAAGCACTGTTGGCGGCAGCGGCTGGGGGGGGGAGACCCCCGACGCCTCCAATACGTTCCCCACCCCCCAAGTCCACGTGCTGCCTAGATCAGCTGCAGCCTCTGCCTCCTCTTTCAGCACAGAGCATCATCAGCTGTCAAGACTCAAGCGGAGGCTTCACTAAGTGTCTAAAAGGGGTTCCCCACCCTTCACCCCAGGGATGGGGGGGTGGTATTTGCTTTAAAAAAGAGGAAAGCCTGGTGCTTGGGCTGGATTAACTTCCTACAGAGGAAAGAGCAAAGTCGGGTGGGGGCTGCTGCGTTAGTCCTACATTCTAGAACTGGGGCCACATTTCCTTCTCGGTTATTTTCTGGGGGCTGCTTTCCTTTTTTAAAAAATATTTTTTATTAAATTTTCCACTTTTATCATAATCGCATTTTGGGACATAATTCTATAACTTAATACATTACAGTGTACCTCAGGTTAAGAACTTAATTCGTTCTGGAGGTCTGTTCTTAACCTGAAACTGTTCTTAACCTGAAGCACCACTTTAGCTAATGGGGCCTCCCGCTGCCGCCGCACCGCCAGAGCACGATTTCTGTTCTCATCCTGAAGCAAAGTTCTTAACCCGAGGTACTGTTTCTGGGTTAGCGGAGTCTGTAACCTGAAGCGTATGTAACCTGAAGCATATGTAACCTGAGGTACCACTGTATAAAACATTTCAGTTTAAGCCTACAAACCTTTTAAAATGTTTACAGTTTTCTTTCATATAAATTTGTTCCAGTCCTTTTGAAACGGTTTGACACGTTTCTCTGTCTTCCATCCAAGCAAGCAAGCAAGAGGCAACATCAGAATTCCAGGTCGCATCCCAGCCAGTAGCAATGATGGCATCCACCAACTTGGATGGCTTTAAAAGAGGATCAGACAAATTCATGGAAGCGGCGGCGATCGACGTCTACTAGGCACAATGGCTATGCTCTGCCTCCACAGTCAGGGGGCAGCAATGCTTCTGAATATCAGCTTCTTGAAAACACAGGAGAGGAGAGGACTGTTGTGATGTGATCCTGCTTGCTGGCTTCCTGCAGGCATCTGTTTGGCTGCTGTGAGAACAGGTGCTGGACTAGCTGGGCCACTGGCCTGATCCAGCAGTAATAATAATAATATTATAATAATAATTTATTATTTATGCCCCGCCCATCTGGCTGGGTTTCCCCAGCCACTCTGGGCAGCTTCCATCCGAATATTAAAAACAATACAGCGTCACACATTAAAAACTTCCCTAAACAGGGCCGCCTTCAGTTGTCTTTTAAAAGTAAAATAGTTTTTTCTTGCCTTGACATCTGCTGGGAGGGTGTTCCACAGGGCAGGCGCCACTACAATTGGAATGGGTAGCTCATTTTTTATCCTTGTATTATATGTTATTTAAATATGTTTATGTTTTAATGATTATGTTCTTACTCTGTCTGTCCTGTTTCAATGGGTCCCTGATGGTATAACAGATGATTCATTGATTGTTTTAATATATGCTTTTATAAGTCGCTTCAAGGTGTTTCTGTGAAAATTGCTGAGTGGGGCCCTGGCCATTTACCACAAAGTCCTTCCCCAAGGGTACCACCTCTTCTCAGAGAGGTGCTGAAATCTGGCGTTGAGGGAGCAGTGCATTGATTCCGTCAGTGCAGCCTCTCCATGCTTACAAACCAACACAGAAAAGGTTTTCTTGCAGCGAGTTGTGGTTTTATTGCGACACCGAAGCTTCCACAAGAGAAAACCAACACAAGAAACCAGCCAAAGGAAAAATAATAATCCATGCAGTCACTGTTTTGCTGATATTGCACAATGCCCTTCCCTCACTAAGCTGCTCTTCCAGCAAGCAAACACACCAACTAGAGTTCAAAACACAATTTGGAGAGGCATTTTTCTTTGTGCGTCCAAAAACGCTCACCAAACCCCCTTTCATAATTTGTTCCCTGATATTCCTAATGACTGTTACTGGAGATAGAGAGAGAGAGAATTGGGTCACTTCTGATATTGTCATGCAAATTTCTCCCCACATTCTGAAGTTCTGAATTACTTGATCTAGTTTCCATAACGGATCCAGTGCATTAGGAATCATCTCTTGTTCTGTCTTTAAGTTTCCACATTTTCGTGGGTGCAGGATCTGACACAGCTTTCCATTCCTTCGAGCCATTTGTGTCTTTCTCCCTCCTCGACACTGGGCCATACACATTGCTAAAACACTGCACAAAAGCAACCCTTAATATGACTGCGCATGCGATTGTGTCAAGATTCTTTTTATGTGGTGTTTTACCAATATGTTGTGCATTGGTGAAAACACTACACAAAAAAATAATCTTGGGGTACAGATGTACAATGGCATCAATATTGTCTCTCTCTTTTTGGGTTGTGTTTTACCAATGTATATCTTTGAATGTAACCTAGATAGCAAAAAAGAAAGAAGTGATGCAAGTAAACTGAAAGTAGGGAAACTGACCACAGCACTATTCCAAATGAGATTTATAAATGCTTCTGATTAAGGGGGCAATCCTGAAATCAGCTTGGGCTGGTTTAAAGTGATTGGAGCCAGTGAAAATGCCACTTGCCTGGCAGAGAGCAATGCCTGGTGTTGGGGCAACATTTCTGATGCTCCCAGAGGCTACTACTTAAGTAGCACACATAATAGCTACTATGTGGACTATCTGCAGCATAAGAGACAGCATTAAAAAGTTCACTCAGTATATACTATCTATTCAGGGAGCAAGGGTACATAAAAAGACATTCAATAAAACCAGTCATACAGCAGAATTAGAGAGCGTAATGAAAATCCTCATAGATCATAGATCAGCTGCAAACTAAAAACAGCAATTCAGTTTGGGAAAGGCCTGAGAAAAACCATTTTTGCAGCACAGAGTAGTAGGCAATTGCTGAAACAGTAAAAAGGACAGAGTCCCATCCGTTACGGGCATGGATATAGAGGAAAGTGGATTCTCAGCTATTTCAGTCCTGAGTTGTTAAGGCTTTATAACAGCGCAATCTTAACCATGTCTCCTTATAAGTAAGTCTTGTTGAATTCAGTCGAGTTTACTACCAGGTGAATGAAGTTAGGATTGCAGCCTTAGACCATAAACTTGGCCTAAGGCAACCTAGCTGCTGCATTTTGCCCTACCTGCAACTTTCAGCCCAACCTTAAAGGTAGAATGCATTGCAAGAATCAGGTCTGTGTCTGAATATCAGTTTGCAGAGACCACCAAGAGGGAGACTTCTGGCTCTTTCCCTCATAGCCTAAATGCAGGCTTCCCATCTGTTTGGCCATTGTGAACACAGGATACTGGACTGGATCAGCCCCTCCATGTTGGGGGAAAGATCTGCTGTTGTAGAAGTACCAAGAGCAGGGTCTCCATGGTGGTAGGGAGTAAAAGGGGGCATGTTGGAGGTGAATTAAGGAAGGTCTTGGACCCATAGGAAAAGGGCAACAATCTGTTCCAGCTCTGGAGATGATGACAAAGTTTTGTTTTGTTTTAAGTAAAATAAGAATGGAAGCAGTAGAAATTCCACTTATCTTATTTTGAAAAAAGCATAGGAACCATTGAATCTGGCAAGCTGATGCTTCATATCCATCAACAAGAGTAAGGTTTTCATGTACTCTTGGCTGTATTTCATTGGAGATTGAAATACTCATTTAACAGATTTCAACCTTGCTTTTTTATATTGCTGTAACCTTCCTTGGGACCTCACGGGTGAAGGGTAGGCAAGAAATCAAGCTGTTGTTCTATTAATTTCCAGCTGGATTCCAAAAGTAAAAGTCAGAAAACAAAAACAATTTTTTTTTGGGGGGGGGACAGACCAAAGTTTGAATTTGTGGGTTGTTGTTGTTTAATTACAAAAATGGCTCTAGTTTAAATTGAGGGGGTGCCTGATCCCGACTTCACGCAACACTGTGCAAGCTGCAATAAATATATTTTAGCTCACAGGAATACTTTGCTACATGAAAACGAAAGGGAGGCAATATTTTTTTTCCACTTTCGAGGTTTCGGGCGCATGGGACGGCAAATGCAAAGCCCAGACACCACAGTTGAAAGAGCCAGTGATACAGCAGGCATGATCACATCCGGAAGGCACTTCGGACGTTAGATAATTATATCATCACATTGAGCAGCAAGAACAATTATTGAAAGAGGCCACCTGGTGGACTGACACAACTAAATGAAGCTGCTAACGCTTTGCCGGCAGTATGAACACAGCTCAGTAGAAAACCCCACTCCACACATCCCTGGTGGCAGAGCCGGAGGGCTGGAAGATGAGTGGCAGGTAGGGGGGCTCCTGAAATTCTCCCAGTCTGAATTCCTCCCTGGAATAACTGGGAACTCTGAATCACCTAGTCTTGTTTTCAAAACAGAGCTGATGCTTTAGGAGCCTTCCACTGCTGTTTTAAACTTCCTCATCTTACATATGTGCAATTGGCCATAGCTTTGCGTTCCATGAGGACTGGGATCTTATTTTACATTTAGGGGAAAGTCTATAGCTCAGGGTGGAGCATCTGCTTTTCATGCAGAAGGTTCCAGGTTCAATCCCGAGCAGCTCCGGGTAGGGCTGGGAATGTGCCCAGGCTAAAACCCTGGGAAGCCACTGCCAGCCGGTGTAGACAATACTGAGCTAGAAGAATCAATGGTCTGACTCAATATACGATAGCTTTCTATGTTCTTTCCTGTGTTGTGCCAAGACCTGCCCTTCAGTTTCTCAAAAGTTTTCTCCCTATTTGTCTGCATGGTTCTCAGGGTAGTTTATAATTTTGGTAAATATAGGGCTTTGAGCTTAGCTTATCGATGTAAGCATGCTATGTATGCTTTTCTTTACATCAAACATTTTCCTCCATGCTCTGTAGCCTCCCCAGGTGCCTGTCCTTCCTAGCCTCACATGTGGAGTTACTTCATGACGTCTTTCCCTGGGCTTTAATTGACGCGTGGGCACCTGGGAGGGCTGCAGAGTGCCAACCACAAGGGGTGATGAATTGCAGAGTGAAATAAAGGGCTGTGAATGTCTTGTCTTTCTTTCTCCAAATCACTTGCAGCCTTCCCAGGTGCCCTCAGCCACCTTTAAACACAACAAAAAGCCACTTGCCCACCCATTACAACCAACATTTTATCTTCCCTTTAGATGCAATTCCTTTTCTCATTAGTTGACAAAGGACAGTCCCTCCAAAAGAAAAGTGGGAAGAAGTTTTTGTGCTGCAACATTAGTCTTTTCACTTCCCCTGCATTACCAGTGTGCAGGAACGTGCTGATAAAAAAGGACACTGCTCAAAACCAACCTTGATAAAATTGTGCATCTGCATCTGTCCTCCTCACCATTCCAGCGGCTGCCTCAGTGGGAGAGATGAGAAGCAGGACTCGCCCCATCAGCTCTACTGAAAGGCCAGCTCCATCAGGCACCTCCAACCCCTAAACTGTTCCCAAGTGGTTATTATAAAAAGTGCTATTAAACTTTAAGAACGGGTGCCTGATTGTTCCTTTTTCTGTTGTGTGCCATGTCTTGTGATTGCAAGCCTGTGGTCAGGGAATGTTCTGTTTTCATTGACTGCTTATAAGCCTCCATGGGATTCTTTCCCACAAAGCAGATTACAGTGGTGTTGTGATCTGCGGTCAAAATTACTATTTCTGCAGCAGGGTCAACCCAATCAACATGAAAGGGGAGATTTTTAGCCACTAAGAAGTCTTCTTGCCCTTTGTGCTGATTGGAACAAACAAGTGTGAAAGGGGCTGAGCCAGCCAGTGAGGATTGGCTCCTAGGGTCACTCTGGAGAAGGTGTGTGGGAAGAACATTGAGGAGAAGCTGTTATGTATGCTCCAAAGCTAAGCGTTTAGGAACACAGACAACACAAGCTGTTCCAGTGGAACGTCAAGGTAAACACAGCTTAAGCCACTCTGAAAGAACATATTGGAGCACTCTGAATCAGTTCCCAACATACCCAGCACAGAAAATAGTAGACCCAGCTGAAAGGCAACAAATGGAGATTTGTATTTATCGTTGCAATGCATCCCTAATTATTATTGTTTTATATTTGTAAGATTATTGTATAATCTTAGGTCATATAACCTTAGAAGTGGGCGTGTCTGTGACTAACACGAAGGGAACCCTGCACTTCTGACTTTGTCACTACAGTACCGGCGTAAGATTTTTACATCATTCCTACATTTTGCAGAAGACAATACTGAGCTAGGCAGATCAATGGTCTAACTTGGTCGAAGGCAGCTTCCTATGCTTATATAGGAGAAAGGCTGTAGCAGGTGCCCTTTCTGGAAAAGATCCCTGGTGCAACCCCCAGCACTTCCAGGAAGAGATTCCTCTTCAAAAACGTGGTGATCTGCTGCCCTGCCAACACAGACCAGGGTGGGCAGAAAGTAGATCTACTGTTAGATCGCAAGGTGATTTCCAGTAGATCTGTGAGGGTTTGTTTAGCAACAGGGCAATAACAACATAAGGCTTTCTCCACATCTGACTCTTCTAAAAATTAAGCTGCTGAGATGAAGAAAGTTTATTGGGAAAACCAGGAGTGGAGTTTTGTCTGGGACTGGACTGTAAGTTTAGATCTGGTGAGAAAAACGCACCCTTGGGTTGAGCAAATGCTAAGAAGCACCTCGTTCCTTAATTCTAGGCACATGTTGCCCTTCCTCTGACACTCTTTCACACTTTGATTGCTGGACTTTGAAATTCACCGGCATCCTAATAAACCAAGAGCAGGAGTGGGACCCATGAGCCTGAAGTTTGCTGCTCATCCCTGGTGTCTACAAGAATGGGCTGGATGGACCCCATGGGCTAAGGGAGCTTCCATGGTTTGTATCTACAGACGGGAATAATATTAGCCACCATCACAGGACTTAGGCAGAAGATGGCAATGCACATTGCAAGCTTGGGACCTGATAGAAAAGGATGCATAATATTACCACTGTTTAAATGATTCTAGCCCCATAGAAAATGTGTGTTGCTGGCAGAGGATACAAGGCTGCAGGGGTGGGGAGTAGCCTCTGAAAGCAGCATTGATCATTGCCTGGGAAAACTTAACCCAGGGGCAGGGAACTGCTTTTCAGCCCAAAGGCCACGTTCTCTAGCAGGCAACCTTCTGGGGGCTGCCTGGCAGTGGTAAATGGGGTTAGGCTTACAGATAGGACTCCTTCTCTTTGTGCAACAGGCTACAGTCCAAACAGAGCAGTCAGAGAGGTTCTACATAGACAACTCTGCATCCAGGAAAGCAAGAAGCGTTATCACAGTTCAAGAACACGTCTCAGCCAGGTGAAAGAGCTCAAGGAAGCTCAGGAGGAGGGTCAGTGAGGGGTGTGACCTGTGAGGAGCCCCAAGGGGTAGGATAGAGATCTTTGAAGGGCTGCATATGACCTCCAGGCCTGAGGTTCCCGGCCCAGCCCTCAACCCAACATACAGGGGTGTTTCTGGCAGTAATTGGTAGGTTGTAACCTGGTTTGTGAATGAGCCACTGTGTGCCCACCTTCCCTCCTGAGATCCCACCCTCTCTTCCTCTCTATACATTATTAGGGTTGTAGCAGAGCAAATTGAACTCCAGGTTTTCATCCCAGTGCCTGAGCAACACAAAGAGCTGCTGAGCTGCTGCCTTCACTGCCGGCAGGCTGCGGCCTTCGGGGAAATCTTGCTCGCTTAGCCACAGGCTGGCCTTGGCTGCTGCCAGCTCCCACTCAATGAAGTACGAGGCAGAGCTGTGCTCCAGCCAGGCTAGGGCCACGGCTGTGGCCCACAGCATTCCCTCTGGTGCATTCTTCTGCTGGAGCTCAATGTCCACCAGCCAGGCCTGCAGCTCGGAGCTGTCCGTCTCAGAACCTCTCCCGCTGTCAGCCTGCGACTCCTGAGGTGATGGAATGCTTTCTGGAAAGGAGAAGCGCTGGATGGTGATGGCCGGAGGAGAAAGCTTGTTCTCAGCCTTCAGGGCCCCAGAGTGACTTTCAACAGCGTCACTGGCAAAATGGCGGGCGTGGCCGGACTCACTCTCTTTGTTTGTCGAGGGATTGACATTGTCCAGTGGTTGAGTTCCCTCAGAGCTCTTGGTTTCCTCTGACGTGGCTGATCTCCTGGAGGTGCAGGAGCTGGCTGAGGGGCTGGCAGCCATGCGGTGGCAGGCAAAAGGAGACGTCCACTTCAGCTTCTCCAGGGGGATGTTGATGGCCTCGCAGAAGGCCTTGTTCAAGAGGAAGGAGCCGCAGGCAAGCTGGAGAGACACCTGAGGGGAAGGGGGAAAACAGTAGTCCTTTTGGAGTCCCAAACAGGCAAGAAACTCGGGTGGTCGCAAAGGAGAGTGCTGGAACTCTCTAGAATACTGAGCTAAACACTTGACAGGTGTGTTCAGTCTCCTACGAACAAGGCCGGTACATCCCATTTTGCCGCCACGGCACCACTGAAGCTTCCCTTAGCTGTGGCCGTGCCTGCAAAGTGGCAGCAGGTTCCAGCGAGATCTCACAGAGCACACAAGATCTCATGAGATTTCAGTGGATAAGCTGGTGCCACTTCTCTGCCAGTGGTGGGGCGCCCCTGTGTGTGTCCCATCTCTTAGGCTTCTGCCACATGAGACGGCTCACTCAGCCTGCCTCATGGGTTGGTGGGCTGTCCCTGCCTAAGAAACCTTAGACCAGCAGAATTGTAGCCAACTAAGTTATACTCGGGTAGCGCTGTGGGTTAAACCACAGAACCTAGGACTTGCCGATCAGAAGGTCGGTGGTTCAAATCCCCACAACGGGGTGAGCTCCCGTTGCTCGGTCCTTGCTCCTGCCAACCTAGCAGGCTCCCTCAGCCAATGAAGCAAGATGAGCACCGCAACCCCAGAGTCGGTCACGACTGGACCCAATGGTCAGGGGTCCCTTTACCTTTTTAAGTTATACTCAGATCATAACAAGGTGGGCAAGATGGCCTGAACACATAACACCAATTTTGGCCCGGCTGCACTGGCTACCAATTAGTTTCCGGGACTGATTCAAAGCGCTGGTTTTGGCCTATAAAGCTTTCTGTGGCTCAGGACCCCACTGCCTCCAGGGTCTCCTCTCCCATCACATGAAGACTGTGTCTATGTGCCTCCTCCTCAAGAGGTCCTGAGGGTGGGAATATGAGAACAGGTCTTTTCAGTAGTGGCTCCCTGCTTATGGAATACACTCCCTTGGGAGGCTCACCTGGGTCCATCATTACACATCTTTAGGTGCCAGGCAAACACTTTTCCTCCCCTTGCCAGGCTTTAGCCTTTTAATTATCTGAGGCCTCCCACAGTGGGATATTTTAATCATGCCTTTTAAAAATAGGATTGTCTTCTAGATTTCCTTTGCTTTCGTTTATATTCGTTTTGATATATCTTTGTTTATATATTGTAGGTCACCCTGAGTTACCCCTGGGTTAAAAAAAGTAACCAATGCATCTAAGAAATAAATAACAAGAACAAGGTTACATATGGGGATTACTATTATTTCTGGAAGTGTCTTCATCAATGCACCTGCGCCATGTGGAAGGGATGGAGGCACACAGGAACTGCGGACTGTGCAAAAGCTGCAGTGAGTTATTTATTTAGTTATTGAATTTCTTTGCACAACTCTTGTGCGAACTTCGGAAACAGGAGCTGCGCAACAAAGCATTCCTAATACCTGGGTTCCACATCAGTAAAAAGTCACAAGGAAATGCAGAACTCCAAAATAAGAGAATAAATTTTGATGATTTTGGGGGGGGGGGAGCATCCCAATGTGAATGCTTGGAGAGCAGTGTCTGAACCTGATGGGACCTGATACTTACAAGGGGCAGGTAGTCAATGTTTTCATTGTCGCTTTCCAAACTCGTCTCGCTGGTCCTGGTGGGTGTTTTTCCCATAAAGCCTCGGGCTGCTCGCGTCAACAGTCTTGTTTTGTTAAAGGTGAGCCTGGACCATTAAGACAGGGATGTGCAAAGAAAGCGCTGTTCAGCCTTCAGCATGATGGCTGCCCTCTCTCAGTCAAGCACATGCTCTTTGGCTGAGGAAAAGTAGTTTCTCTGTTCCCCCACCAAACCCCACAGAATCCAAGTCAGTTTCAAGGAAAAGATTTGACTGTGTGAGGAGCACATTCACCCTACTGACATCTTGACCCACCGGTTTTTGCAAAGTTTTCTTGGGCGACATTTTAAACAAAATAAAGATTGTCCAACATTTCACAGCTGAGCGCAGGGGAAGGCTTGCCACTAAAGCTGTGTCCAAACAACCTCTCTAATTCCGCCATCTTCTTTGTCCACAGAAAAATTGGGAGGTGGGACAGTGTAGCCCTCTTATTGATATACAAAAGCTGCCTGGCCTGGTTGAGTCTTCCTTCAACACTGGTTGACAGAACAACATTCTCCACCGTCCCCAAGGATAGCAGGCTCTCCTAGGAGGTGCAAGGTGCAAATCCTACTCACCACCCCTCCCCCCTCGGCATTTGCCACCTGAGATGGTCACCTCACGCTGCCCTTTCAGGAAGAAAAACAGACCATGGAAACATCAGCCCTTACCTGGCCGCAAAAAAGCTCTCAATGGATTTCTGAGAGGAGACAGATGGACTTCGTAGTGGAACTGAGGAGAGAGAGAGAAAATGGAAGATGGTGCCAGAGTCAGAAGGATGACAGTTTAGTGTAGTGCTCAAAGCAGGTCTCTCTATCTGGCCCTCAGAACTCTCCCCAAGCTGCACCCCTCCCTAGTCCTGCTTTTCACCTTTCTTGAGGGTTGGTGCAATGGTGTAATATGTCCCTGTACTCTAATAATGCCTCTGGCTTGTCTGGGCAGAGGACAGAAATAGGGAGGTAAATTTGTGTACAACCCAACCCACTGTAAACACATGAAGTGGAATTTGCATTCTTTGCTCCACCCACTTCTGCCTCACTGGCATGTGGCCCTCAGAAGGTTGCCCAGAAGGCAACGTGGCCCTCGGTCTGGAAAAGGTTTCCTAACCCTGAGGTTGCCATGACCCTGGGCCTTCTCATGCCCCTTCTCTGGGGAATGAGGTCGGGGATCGCACTGGATTGCACAAATGCACACTGTGTCCTAAGGTAGATGAATGAATGATAATGACCCAGTCTAAGGGCTTGTCCACACTTCCGCTTGCCCTGCTACTTCCCCCCGAGAAAACCCACTCTTTATGGCTGAAGCGGAGCAAAGGTCAATTGGATTTCCCCCACAAATTGCTGTTTGCTCCGATTCAGCAGTAAAGAGCGTGTTTTCCCTGGGGGAAAGCAGCAGGTAAATGCAAAACTGCTGCCTGGAAAGCACAGGGCAAGTGGCAAAACTCTTTGACCTGTGCTTTCTAGGAACTGGATGAGTGGAAGGCTGGATGAGTCCTAAGGCAGCTTTCTATGTTCCTGCTTATATCAGTGCTTTATAGCTCAGTTGGTAGAGCATGAGACTCTTAACCTCAAGGTCATGGGTTTGAGTCCCACATTGGGTGAAAGATTTTTGCATTGCAGGGGGATTGGACTAGGTGCCCCGGTTTCAAACACTGCCAACTGCATATCTGACCGGTAGATTCACAAAAACCCCAGTAGAACATCGTTTATGCCCTTGCCTTATGAAAATTAAAGAGGATCTTACACATTACCTCCTCTATTGCCCCATCTACTCGAGCTTTAGAGACGCATTGCTGCAAATTATACCCAACTCTATAACCAATCCTGAAGATAGAGTAAAATTTTGCTAGTTGATGCAAACCCACGTATTACCCATGTGGTAGCGGTTTTTGTGACAAAGGCCATGAAAGCCAGGGAAAGACTTATGGATGACAATGTAAAGACCCCTTCATCGTCTGTTTAACTCGTTGCTCGTTTTCCCTCTCTTTCTATTTTGTGGGATGAAGGTTTTGTTGGCGTAGTATGTAATGAATTTTAATATCTTTTAACTATTGTTGTGTTAATGTTTGTGTACAGGCATGGTCCTCACAATAAACGGATTTGATTGATTGACTAGGTGCCCCTTATGGTTCCTTTCCATTTTACAATTCAATGATTCTTAGAACTGGAATCTTTCTTTCTCCTGAGGAGAAGGACCACAGTTAATTTGTGGAGCATCTGTTTTACATGCGCAAGGTGCCAGGTTCGAGCTCCAGCATCACGAGCTATGGCTGAGACCTTCCCCTGCCTGAAACCCTGGAGAGCTGCTGCCACTCAGTGTAGACAACACTGAGCTAGAAGACCCCATGGTCTGACTCAGTGCAAGGTTTTCTAAGATGTTCCTTACCATCTGGGAAAGTGATGCGATCCCATCCCGAGGAGGACGGTGTACTGCACGGAGACAGGCTGTTCTCTTCTGCATCTGCTTGTGGGTGGGGGGAAAGAGAGACAAGAACCAGTGACCACCTGGGTTAGCCTCTTCTGCAGCATGGCAGGTGTCAGGGAACTGCCATCGAAAGGGGGGAGGGGGGGCATAAGAATACAGGGAGCCTCGGACGTTGCTCAGAAGCAGCTCTTGGTCAGGCAGTGGAGAGACCCCTGCCTCAAGTGAAGCAGGGGGAAGGAGGGGCGAAGTGAGGGAAAGGCTCACCGTAAGGAGGGGAAGTGGAGATTTGGGGTGTCTAAGTTCTTATGCTGGGGGGAGAACCGGAAGAGGCCACCTCCCGGAATCTGCAAGTGACTGAGGCAGACATGAACTTTGGATTTCTGCACTGTACATAAAAGGTAAAGGTAAAGGGACCCCTGACCATTAGGTCCAGTCGTGGCCGACTCTGGGGTTGCGGCGCTCATCTCGCTTTACTGGCTGAGGGAGCCGGCGTACAGCTTCCGGGTCATGTGGCCAGCATGACTAAGCCACTTCTGGCAAACCAGAGCAGCGCACGGAAACGCCATTTACCTTCCCACTGGAGTGGTACATATTTATCTACTTGCACTTTGACATGCTTTCAAACTGCTAGGTTGGCAGGAGCAGGGACCAAGCAACGGGAGCTCACCCCGTCACGGGGATTCGAACCGCCGACCTTCTGATCGGCATGTCCGAGGCTCTGTGGTTTAACCCACAGCGCCACCCGCGTCCTTGCACTGTACATAGTTTGCACTAAAATAAAACCTGTAAAAGACAGGTCGGAGTCCTGGCTGTTTACTCGCAAGCAACCACCTGCAAACCTGACAGCAGGGATTGGGTTGCTCAGTGCAGGGGCATCTGTGAGGCTCTGCCAGGGTCCTAGAGTCCTCCTTCCTCCTTCCCTAGAGTCCTCCTTGGTGCCTTCCCAGCTTTCGGGAAGAGATGGGAGGGCTCCAGGACCCTGCCAGAGCCTCACACCTACTTCTCAAAGCCATGTGCTTCCTTACCTGCCTTTGGGAAGTCAGTGTGAGGCCTGGGGGGGGGGGTGCACCAAATTTTGGGCTCACACAGGGTGCAATGGTACCCAAGTCCGCCACTCCTCAGTGCAATTACAATTTTAGGTGAACCATCTGCTCATTGCATGCTAATAAGGTGGGGCGGGGGAGTCAGCAGGGCTGGTGGCAGGTATGGGCATTGCAAGGCCCATAACCCTAAGGGGGGGGTCAACATCCAGTCCCTGGAACTGATCCTGGAAGGAAACCATCAAGAAACTGGGGTATGGTTCTAATTTCACCAGCTTCTTGCTATCAGAATAAAAACAGACCCTTTAAATCCTAGGGAGAATTCAGATGGGTTTTTTTAAAAATAAAAATAAATCTATGCCTTTTAAAAAAAGAAACCTACTTTAGTTTAAAAAAACCAACAACCCAGAAGTTTTTCTTTTAATGATTGCAAATAAAGAGATTCCAAAGGACCTTTAAATTTTGTTCTTGTATGCCACAACCATAGCCAGAATGGTGTTTGCCCAGAAGTGTAAAAAGATGCTATACCAACTAAGGAAGAGTGGCTGATTAAACTGATGGAATATGCCGAAATGGCAAAACTGATGGATGCAATAAGAAACGAGGAGGGATGTTTTATTATTATTTTAAAAATGGGGGAAATTTGTAGAATATCTGAAAAGTTCTGGCATGCAAATAAGTTCATTAGCTTAAATCAAGCAGTTAAAAATATTACTAAGGTAAAAGGAAGAATAGCTTAAAAATGGAGTAAAGTGGAATATGCAGTGTTAAAAATCTAAAGTAGAAAAGGAACCACAAAACGGGGGGGGGGGGAGTCAAATATGGGATTGTATTCATAATTTGTGTTTGCAAATTTCTGTGTCTTGGTCATATTGTGAAAACTGAAAAATCAAATTTATTTTAGAAAAAGAAAAAGAAAAGAAACCTACAGGAATGCTGTTATCTTACTCATGCCAAGCAATTGGTCACCTGCTGAATCTTGACCACAGGTTGACTGGATGCGTCCCAGCCCCGAGGAGAGCGTTCTGTGCCGCCTGTTCTCAGAACCCGAATTCCGTTGGCTGCCTGGTTTCAGGGCTGGACCTTGGAACAAATCAGATGGAATCATTATAGAGTGAGAACTGGCAATTTTGAGGGTCTGGGAGGGGGGTGGACGTGTCGTCTAATCCAATGAAAATGAAACACCCACACCCACACTGCAAAATGGAGCTATTTACAACAATTTCTCCACCCACGTTTGCCTACTGCTGGCATGGGGACCCTGGAAAGCTTCTCAGAAGGGAATGCAGGTATAACAATAACAATAACAACAATAATAATAATTTATTATTTATACCCCGCCCATCTGGCTGGGTTTCCCCAGCCACTCTGGGCAGCTCCCAACCGAATATTAAAAACACAGTACAGCATAAAACATTAAAAACTTCCCTAAACAGGGCTGCCTTCAGATGTCTTTTAAAAGATAGGTAGCATGAGTGTAGCTGGGTGGGTGGTTAGGCAGGGAGTGGCAGCTGCCCCCCTAAATCAATAAAAATACATAGCTAACTGAGGTCCCCCCCCACCAACAAAAGACCTGCCCTCCCAACAAAAGACTGTACCCCCCACAAGAAAAATCCTGGCTACACCCACTGCAGGCCACCCTGCATGAGATGGCTCCAAGGCCTGATTCTGAACAAGACAGCCTCCTACATTTCTAGTCCACAGGAGCATATGACATAACCCTTGCACTGATCAGTCTTCCAGGTGACACCAGGTGCTGTTGCCCACAATCCTTGTGCTCCTGCTAAGCTCCTCTACCTGCATTGGGATATTCCACAACGGTCGGCAAGTAGCTATTGTTGCTCAGGTCTGCGGGCAGAAAGGCTGTGTATTTGCTGATCACATTGCAGGCTTTGCTGGTGTGCACGGCATTCACCTGGTACCGCCGGCCAGACCCTGTTGGATAAAAAGTGCCGGATAGAGATAGTCAATCTCCCCCCCCCCACCGAGATAGAGAAATTTGCTTCCTACAGATCCAATCTGACTGCACAGTAAGAAAGACGTCCATACGAACCTACCTGGACCTTGAGATCATCATCTGAGATCCTCTTTCATGTGCTTCCTCCACGAGAGGTCCGGAGGGTGGCAACACGAGAAAGGGCCTTTTCTGCAGTGGCTCCCCATTTGAGGAATGCTCTCCCTAGGGAGTCTCACCTGGCGCCTTCATTATACACCTTTAGGCGCCAGGCAAAAACGTTCCTCTTCAACCAGGCCTTGGGCTGATTAACATCCTATACTCCTTTTACATGTGTTTGTGGGAGCGGGTGGGGAGAGGGGGTTACTGATTTGTGGGGGGGGTTTTAATCATGTATTTTGTGCTTTTATATTGTATTTTGGGGCGCGGGTGGTGCTGTGGGTTAAACCATAGAGCCTAGGGCTGGCCGATCAGAAGGTCGGCGGTTCGAATCCCCGCGACGAGGTGAACTCCCGTTGCTCGGTCCCTGCTCCTGCCCACCTAGCAGTTTGAAAGCACACCAAAGTGCAAGTAGATAAATAGGTACCGCTCCGGCGGGGAGGTAAACGGTGTTTCTGTGTGCTGCTCTAGTTCGCCAGAAGCGGCTTAGTCATGCTGGCCACATGACCCGGTAGCTGTACGCCGGCACCCTTGGCCAATAAAGCGAGATGAGCACCGCAACCCCAGAGTCGTCCACGACTGGACCTAGTGGTCAGGGGTCCCTTTACCTTTACTATATTGTATTTTATGTTGTGAGTCGCCCTGAGATCTGCAGATGAAGGGCAGTATATAAATTTTAATAATGATGATGACGTCTGGACAGGGCTCCAGGTTATATCTACAGCATGTTAAAACATGGTTTGGCTTACTGGGGTAACTCCATCTTCCACACACACACACCCAGCAAAGAGTAGCACTTTCACTGAAGCTATCAATGCAAGTTACCGTGCTCAATTTCACATTCCCTCTCTGCGAGCTGCTCAAAGTCCCGGACGATGGACTTGGCAGCCAGGTGGTGGAAGGTCTCGCTCCAGAGATCATCTTCGTCGTTCCTCTTGCCCTCCCGACCTCGGAAAAGCGGGGCGATGTCAAATAGCACCTCCCACTGGACCACTTCATTGTTCCGCAGCCCTTTCACCACTGCC